CCAAATAATAAAAAGAATTAAAATCAAACTCACTGCCATTGAGCAGATTTCAGCTTCCAGTGAAACTGTAGGCCAAGGTAGACTACCCCTGGGGGTTTCTGAGACTATGTCTAGGAGTGGACAGCCTCTCTCCAGCAAAGCCGCTGGTGGTTTCAGGCTGCTAATCTTGCAGTTACAGCCCATCCCCTGGGAAGAATGTGCTCTTTAGAACAATCAACCATACAAAATCAGAAGGGCAAATTTTGCCCCAAATCAAAGATAGGAAGGCAGGGGAGGTAGGGAAACCAGATGAATGGAAATAGGGGGAGCTCTGTCACATTATTGGGACTGCAGCTAATGTCATGGGACAATTTGTGCATGAAAAAATTTGGTACAACTGATTGGAAAAAGGATGTAAACTTACACCTGAAGCGTAATAAAAGGTTCAACCATCTCAAAAATCTCACAACTTAAGTGCTGGAAAGGACAGAGGACATGACATGGTCCAAAATCTACCCAGTACTGGGGGCCTGTAATCCTCATAGCATCCTTGGCAGCTGTGGTGGTTAATGTTATGTGTCATCCTGGTTAGACCATGATCATCTGTGATTTGGGAGGTATTATGTATTCATTCTCTGTTTTGGAATTTGATATGAACACCTCATCAGTTTGGATTTAGAGGATTCAGAAAATGAGATTTTTTTAAATTTGGAGTTAATCTAAGACCTTTGGGATGATGTGATGGCATAAAGGTGTTTTGTATGTTGCAAGAACATGAATTGTGGAGGGTCAGAGTGTGGACAGTGATGAATTGAAGTGTGTTCCCCAAAATCTGGGTTGCAAATTCTAGCCCCTATATCGCTGTGGGTTTTCTTTGTATGTTAACTAGACAGGATTAGTATAGGGTGTGTCTTAAATCTATCTCTTTTGAGACATAAAAAAGAGATTAAATAAGCAAATGAGAGAAGCAGAGACTAGGTAGACACTTGTCATGCCAGTGGAAGATCACCCAGGAGCAGAAGGTCAAAGAGATAAGGCTTTTCTCCCAGTGCCAATAGAGATAAAAAGCCCTTCCCTTAAATCCAGTACCTGGATTCAGACTTCTAGCCTTCTTGATAACGAGTATTCCAGAACACTTCATTGTGCTCATGTGGAATTTGTTCACAGATCAAGAGGCAGTTGTGTGAACAGAAGATAGGAATACTGCATGGTTCAAAATCAGGAAAGGTGTTTGCCAAGGTGATATTCTTTCACCGTACTTATTCAATCTGCACGCTGAGCAAATCATCAGAGAACCTGGATTATATGAAGACAAATATGGCATCGGGATTGGAGGAAGGCTTACTAACAGCCTGTAATATGTAGATGACACAACCTTGCTTGCTGAAAGTGAAGAGGACTTGAAACACTTGCTGATGAAGGATTGCAGCCTTCACTGTGGGTTACAACTCCATGGAAAAAAGACCAAAATCCTCACAACTGGGCCAAGAGGTAACATCATGGTAAATGGAAAAAAGGTTGAAGTTGTCAAGGATTTTGTCTGGCTTGAATCCACAATCAATGCTCATGGAAGCAGCAGTCAAGAGATCCAACATGCATTGCACTGGGTAAATCTGCTGCCGCACAAGAACACTCTCTTTACTAGCATCAGTCAAGGCTGACTCATAGCGATTCCCTGTGGGTTTCTGAGATGTCACTGTTTACAGGAAGAGAAAGCCCAGTCTTTCTCTTGTGGAGCTGCTGGTGATTTTGAACTGCTGACCCTGTGGATCACAGCCCAACGCTTAACCACTACACCACGAGGACTACATAAGACCTCTTTAGAGTGTTAAAAAAAAACATGTGATTTTGAGGACTAAATTTCACCTGACCCAAAGCGTGGTATTTTCAATTGCTTCATATACATGTGGGAGAAATATGGGCTTTCTACTCACAGGGGGCCCTTCTACTCTGTCCTGTAGGGTCACTATGAGTTGGTATCCACTGTGAGTTGGGTTTGGCTCATATGCATGTGCAAGTTGGCATTGAATGAGGAAGACTGAAGAGGAATGAATGCATTTGAATGATGGTGCTGATGAAGAATATTGAAAGTACTGTACCATGGTCTGTCAAAAGAATAAATAAGTATGTCATGGAAGAAGTACAGCCAGAATGCTTTTCAGAGGCAAAGATAGTGACACTTCATCTCACAGACTTTGACATATTATCTGGAAAGACCAGTCCCTGGAAAAGGACATCATGATTGGTCAAGTAGAGCGGCAGTTGACACAGTGTTTGCATCTATAGGCTAAAACAGAAGAACAACTATGACGATGGCACAGGATTGACCAGTTTCGTTCTACGTAGGGTTGCTATGAATCAGAACTGACTCAACGACATTACAAAACCAGTCTCCTTAGCAGTGAAAAAATAAATTTATTTGTTAAAGACTCCCTGTGGGTTTCTGAGACTGTATATCTTGAGAGGAGTAGAAAGACTTCATCTTTCTTCTGCAGAGCAGCTGTTGGTTTTGAACTGCCAACCTTCCAATTAGCAGCCCAATCCACAAACCACTATGCATAGGGGTCCTCAGCATGCTTTAGTCTACTTAGATAACAGGCACAGACAAAGGTGATCTTGATACCTCATTGAAACAGAAATCCAGTTTTAAAAGGAGTAAAGTAGACTTCATTAATTGAGTGATGATTTTGTAAAAGAAGGGATTCTGAATGAAACGGGCTGTTGACAGATAAAAACAAACCTGCAGTGTCTCCCAGAAGTCACACCATTGATTTACAAGCAAGGAAGAAACCAAGCATTCTTGTGCTGTTGTAGAAATGTCTTCCTCCTCCCCTGGCTCATCGGGATAAACCTTTTTCATTCTTAGTGTTGCTTGCTGGGTTATTTATTTAGTTGTTTATTTGTTTGTTTGTTTTCTCAGTGAAAAGTTGGAATCCAGACAGGCTTGACCTCAGAGACTGATTTCCTAAGGGCACTGCGGCCTGTAGACTCCTCAGTCCAGAGAGACGTGCCTCCCCTAACTGCACGGAGAGAACTCCAGAGTAGCATAGGAATCCTTTACCAGGCTGCTATGTCCTCCAGCACCATTCCTTGGAGGAAGCTTGGGAAAACCGCTGTGCTGATCCCCGGCTGCGGGCTGGGCCGGAAGCGGGTCGGGTTACAGTCAGGTGAGGATGTGGACTGTGGACACTAGACGTGTCTTCCCAATCCCTGGAGGCTGGATTGTCTGATCACCCCAGGAAGGGGGCGCACCCAGCCTCCGGGAGCCAGGGCAAGGCGTGTCTGGGCATCCCCTGACTTGGGCGGTGGGTGCGCAGGGGCAGCGTGTCCCGCAACTTGGGCACAGCTCTACCAGAAACTCGGCGTCTTTCTCTTCCTACTTTCTCCCAAGGATGGAAAAAACAAAAGCAAACAACAACAACAACAACAACAACAAAAAACCCAAACTTACTGCCATCAAGTCAGTTCTGACTCCTGGCCACCCTGCAGGAGAGGGCAGATTGCGCCTGGGGACGTCTGAGATGGAAACTCTTTACAAGAGTAAAACGCTCCTCTTTCCCGCGTGGAGCAGCTGCTAGGTTCCTGGGCTCCTACACAAGGGTCGATAGGAACAAACAACACACACACACACACAACAAACAAACACAAACGACAAAGAACAAAACATACAACAACAAACCCACAAAAACAAATGTAAAACTTTTCCTCTAACCTTTCCTGGATCTGTTATGTTAAAGGTCATTTACCAGCCTCAGAATTTGGGGAGAATGGAGACAACTGGGTGGAAGAGGTAGCGATCTGATTTCAGAAGCTGTGTTGCATAGCACGTCCTTGACTTCTGTTTTCATGTAGGTGAGAGGTTCTTAGGGTGCTAGATCTTGGGCTGGAAGCTGTTTGGTCAGAGCAGCCGGTTTCTCTAGATTGTCTGGCACAAATCAGTAAAATAAAGCGTTCTCGAGATGCCGAGAGGTGGCGCAGTGGTTAATCGTTGAGTTGTGATCTGCAAGGCTGCCAGTTGGAAACCATCAGCTGCTTGGGGGAGAAAGACGGGGCTTTCCACTCCCTTAAAGAATGACAGGGACAGTTCTATCCTGTCCCATAGGATTGCCTAAAGAATTGTCTCTCGGGAACTCACAGAAGCAGTGTACCCTGTCCTACCAAGTCGTTAGGAGTAATCACAGACTCCATTGGCAGTGGGGTGTTTTTGTTTTTTTTTAAATGAGATATGCTGAATTTTAAAATCCATTAACGTTGTGTTTATTTGAGGGGTTGTTGAAGATAATGGGAGCTTAATTTAACAGGTTCTCCTTCAGCCAGACGAATCCGTGAGGAGTGACCCCCACGGACTCCACTTTGGCCCACAGAGATTTCAGAAACCTCAACATTCACTTCCAGAACTGAGCCATTTTCTGGCGAATATGTTGGGACCATATTGGGGGGTAGCGGGTGGGGGATGTGGAACTGGTGGGGGTGAGAGACTGACAGGAGCCTTGGGGACTAGATCGGCGTTTATCAACCAGAGTTTCCCTTACTGTCCTTATGATAGGGTGGGTGGGTGGGTGGTGTCGTGATTTGAACACACCTTTCCTTTTTTTTTTTTTTTTATAAAGGGGAGGGGGAGAATCAGACGTTACATTCTTTTGCAAACATTCATGCCTAAGGAAGGGCTGGATCAGGCAGGCGGCCGCCGGAACCGGTTGGACAGGTAGCAAGCTTGTTGACACCGTTATGTTGCAGGGCGCATGCTCACTCTCAAGTTTCCTGGTGCTTTTTCTATTCCACTTTATGAAACTTTTCGCCCCCGGCGTGGTCTTGCCTATGATTTAAGGCGGAGGTGGCGCGAAGCCCGAAGGGTGGGAGTCTCGGGGTGGGCGCGTGGCCCGCCAGGGCTGGAGGGAGAAGTCCAGCGAGGCGGGAAGGTGAGCTCTGGAGTCTGAAGCCCAGGACCGAGTCACCGCTGCGGCCGACGCCCCTAGTGGGAACAGCAGAACTGGGGGGTCGCTGCTGGGGAGGGGCCCATCATGCCTAAAGTCTTCCTGGTGAAGCGGAGGAACCCGGGGATCATGCACCGCAGCTGGACTGAACTCCCCGATGAGGAAAGGGCAGACACCTACATCCCAGGTAAGCCAGGGAGCCAGGCCTGGGTGCTGGGCTCCCCGGTGGGGGAAGGGATGGCCCAGGGCCTTTGGACTCCTTCGGCCTGCTTCCTCCTGCAGAGAGGAACGGGGGTCTTACGGGAGAGGAGAAGGGTGGCCCATGCTGCCGCCAGAGAGGCTTGAAACGGACACCTACGTTCCCATTAGTGGGTGCCTCTTAATTGCCTTGCGGGAACCGTTGGCTGAAACACAGGTAGAGATGGCCCCTGAAGGCAGGTGTGTACGAAGACCAGGAGGGGCTACCCCCATCCCACTTCCTCCTGCTGCCGAAGGAGCCCCCAGCCCTCTGTGACCAGATGGAAAGAGGGCCGCTTCCCTTGCACTAGAGGAAACTTGAAGTGCTAGGTCGGTCTGGTTTGAGCCCCCTAATTCCTCGTGGGCGCCAGGCCTGGGACTTAGAGCCGACCTCAGCATCCTCAGCGCTCTCGGGAGGCCAAGCAATTGACTTGCTAGCCTGCTTCTGGGAGCCCGGGTCCGGGGTGGGGCTGCCCAGCTGACGGCTAGTGTTTGCCCCCCTGCAGTGGCCCTAGGCTGCCTGCTCCAGGAGCCCCCGGAGGACTGCCGCAGTGACAGCGGGGATAGCAGCATCGCCGCGGAGCCGGCAGGTTCCCTGAGCAGCTCGTCCCCGGGAGCCCCCGAGAGCAAAGCCCGCGAGCCGGGCAATGCCCAAGGCCCTGATGGACATCTGGCGGCGAAGCAGGGCCCGGTTGCCCGGTCGAAAATCAAGGTACTGTGTCAAATCTGTCCCCCGCCATTATTTGCACCACACCCTGGTGACAGGCTCCCGGGCCTGAGCCCCTCCCCCGCGCACCTTAGCTACCGGGGCCCAGGGCGCCAGTCACGCCCGCCTGCACCTGCCCCTGTCCCTGGGTTGCGCTGGTGAGGGCGCCTCCCTGCTGAGCTGTCCTCTGGGCTGCTGTACCCGCCTATCAGCTTGGCTCCATAGGGTGGCCATAGGGACTGCGTAAAAGAAAATAGTCTGGCTGTCTAAGTTCCTGAGATTTGAAAAGGGGTGGGGGAACCCCACGTTTTGACCATTCTACCCCTGAGATGCAGTGGGCAATACAAGGTGGATTTCACACCTCCCCTGTGCCCTGGAGAGAAATGACTGTAGCTTGGCACATGGTAGGTCTCTCACCATAACAATGGCTTCCAGTGTCAGTTATGGAGTGTCACTTGACAGGAGACCTACCTGGCACTTCAGATTTGTCCTGTCTCTCATATCTATAATCAAATGGATGAATAAGAGTTCAGCTGCCAATGCCTTAATGCTCCCTCCATCCCTGTGGGTGGGGTATGTGTCTTCTATTGTTGTAACTTGTAGACTTGCAGGCCATAGGGCCACCAGAGACACATTCATCTAGGCATCTATCCTCATATTCCCATATAGAACTAAGATAATTGTCCAAAGGCATCCCCAACCCCCAAGATTAAGGAACCCATTCCACTGACTCATAGCCCCCTGGAGTTAGGGGCATGTAAATCTCTCGACCTCATTTCCTCACTTGGCGTTGTTCCCTAGCATCCCTGGGTGGATGCTAACTCTGGCGTGTAACAGGGCAATCCTGGAGGTGAGTGAGCAGGGCGGGGACAAAAAAGCTTTAATTGGAAAACCACCAGTATTGTTTTCTGGGAGAAGCTTGTATCTCTGTGAATTTTCCTGGATGGGACAGAATTTGACGCAGGAGGCTGGCTGGATTGGGACACATTTAGTTTTGAACTGAGGCTAGAGACTTTTGAGCTAGAACACAAAGGGAAGAGATCTTTAAAGGATGCTTCTGTTTGGATGGAGCTCTGGTGGCTTATGGGCTAAGTATTGCTCTGCTAACTTCAAAGTCAGTCTCTCTGCAGGGAGAACGATTGCCTGCTCCAGTTAAGACTATGGTCTCAGAATCCATAAGAAGCAGTTTTACTCTGATTTATATGGTCCCTCTCCAAGGCACTGAGTTCAGGATTTTCTTGCAAGTATTCTTGGGACTTTCACTTGGCTCTTTATCCCAAGTCTTTCTGTAGCAACTTAGAGTCATTTTCTCTTCCTCTAAATTTTTTATTATAAACTATTTCTCAGGCAGTAGTATGTACCAGCCCCAATAACCCTTAACCTGCCCAGTACTGCTCCATCCACATAACTTTGATTCCACCACTTATATAATTTTAAAAAATTTAAGTTCTGGTTGTTGAGAATATATTATACACATCAGAACATATACTCTTTTAACTATTTCACCATAGGTGAGGGTGGTAACTGAGGTAAGGATGGCAACTTGGGTAAAGGTCGTGACTTGATGTTGACCCCAGATAAATCTCATGCTAGTTCTGCCTCATTGGCATTATGGATAACTCATTCTCATGGCCACATGCTACCATACTTATAGAAGCATCAAAAATAAATTCCACAACACTGAAAACAGGGCACTGAGTGGAACCATAGCCATAGGCATAGATAGTAGGATTTATAACACATCCCAAATAGAAGATGGTCATGCAGTATGGTGAATCATGGCCAAGCCAAGTTGACTCATCACCCCAACTGTGACATATTCCAGATATCTTATTTGCATGGTTCAATCTAGTCTAGACACAACAGAGTTGGTGTCTAGAAAGGCTACATATTAAGTTATTTATTGCACCAAAGAACCATCGAGGGGTTTGTTGCCGTTGTTGAGAATATATGAAGGGGATTCAAAAAGCTCATGGAAAAAATAGAATGAAAAGATATAATTTTTAAAGTCCCCTTGTACATACTCGATTTCTAAAACTCTATTTTGGTGACACTGATTACATTCCTTGAGTTGTACAGCCCTTCTAGCCCTCCTTTTCTGAGTGGTTCCTCCTCCATTCATAAACTCACTGGCCCCTAAATTCCCTCCATCAACTTCCAAGATGCTGTTGTCAATTTGATCCACAGAGATAATTCTTGCAAGAGCACAGTGTTCAAGGCAGCTACTCTTCACTAGTTATTCTATTGTTTGCTATTGGCAAAAATTTGAATGATGCAAGAAGCATCAAAAGAAGATGGAAAGAATACACGGAATTACTGTTCCAAAAAGAACTAGCTGACATTCCACCATTAAAGGAGGTAGCATATCAGCAAGAACCAATGGTGCTGAAGGAAAAAGTCCAAGCTGCACTGAAAGCATTAGCCAAAAGCAAGGTTCCAGGAATTGATGAAATACCAGTTGAACTCTTTCAACAAGCTAATGAAGCACTGGAAGCACTTAATCATCTATGCCAGGAATTTTGGAAAACAGCCACCTAGCCAACTGACTGGAAGAGATTTATATTTGTATTCATTCATATTCGTACTCATTCCAAAGAATGGTGATCCAACAGAATGCACAAACTACAGAACAATATCATTGATATCACATGCAAGTAAAATTTTTCTGAAGATCATCCAACAATGGTTGTAACAGAATGTTGACAAAGCACTGCCAGAGTTCAGGGTGGATTCAGAAGAGGACACGGACCAAGGATATTATTGGTGATGTTATATGGATCTTGTCTCAAAGCAGAGAATATCAGAAAGATGATTACTTGTGTTTTATTGACTATGCCAAGGAATGTGACTGTGTGAACCGTAATAAACCATGGAGAGCCTTGAGAAGAACAGAAATTCAGAACAGTTCATTGTGTTCATTTGAAACTTGTACACAGATCAAAAGACAGGTATTTGACCAAAACAAGGGAATATTCATGGTTTAAAAGCATGCAGAGTAAGTTGTAAGTTAAGGGAAGGTGTAAGTTAAGGTGTATTTTCTCACCATAGCTATTCAATCTGTGTGCTGAGAAAATCATCAGAGAATCTGGACTGTATGAAGAAGGATGTGGTAACAGGATTGGAGGAAAGCTTATGAACAACCTGCAATATGCAGGTGGCACAACCTTGCTTGCTGAAGATGAAGAGGACTTGAAGCACTTGCTGATGAAGATCAAGGATTGCAGGCTTCAGTATGGATTACAACTCAGTGTACTGAAGACCAAAATCCTCACAACTGGACCAATAGGTAACATTATGATAAATGGAGAAAAGATTAAAGTTGTTACGGATTTCGTCTGCTTGGATCCACAATCAGTGTTCATGGAAGCAGCAGTCAAGAGAGCAAAGGACACATTACATTGGGTAAATCTGTTGCACAAGACCTCTTGGAATATTTGAAAAGCAAGGATGTTATTTTGAGGACTAAGGTGCACCTGACCCAAACCCTGGTATTTTCAATAGTCTCATATGCTTGAGAAAGCTGGGTATTGAATAAAACAGACCCAAGAAGAATCGATGGGTTTGAATCATGGGGGTGGCAAAGAATATTAAAAATACCATGGAGTGCTAAAAGGACAAAGCAATTTGTCTTGACAGAAGTACAGCCAGGACTCTTTAGAAGCAAGGATGACAATGCTTTGTCCTACCTACTTTGGACATGTTATCAGGAGAGACCAGCCCCAGGAGAAAGGCATCATGCTTGTAGAGTGGAGGGACAGCTAAAAAGAGGAAGGCCCTTGATGAGAAGGATTGACATAGGGGCTGCATCAGTGGGCTCAGGCCTGGGAACAATTGTGAAGATGATGCAGTACCAGGCAGTGTTTCCATTCTGTGGTGCAGAGTCTCTTTGGGTTAGAAAAGACTTCTTATCACCTACCACCACCAATACCAACATCATTAGGGAGGTTAATTAGCCAGGTTAATGAAGAAGACTGCGAACTATAGGATTCAGTTGTATCCTGAGTCAGTGTCTTTGAGATATGAAAGAAATGAAACAAGCAATTAAAGATCAGATGGAACTGACTACAATCAACAAAGAAAAGCCGGGAGCAGAGTGTATTGTCTCCTTTGATCCCGGGACTGAGAACTTCCTAGACCCAGGAGAAGATTGATGCTAAGACATATGGAGCTCTCCCAGGGATACCTGGTCCGCAATGTTGGAAAGACACCAGGTCTATCCCGCAAAGGTTGCATAGAGACAAAGCCTTCCCCTAGAGCTGGCACTCTGAATTTGGACTTTTGGCACCCTACACTGTCAGAGAATATATTTGTTGTTAAAGCCATCCACTTGCGTTCTTGTTATAGCAGTACTAGATAACTAAGGTAGCATTTCTGTAACACATTTGTTTATCCTTGCACATATTAATGGGCATGTAAATTGTCTCCACCTTTGGTTACTGCGAATAATACAACAATAAACATGGTATAGATATGCCTGTTTGTGTCACAATTTCCAGCTGCATTGGGAATATTCGTAGCAGTATAAATGTACAATTTTTTGTTTTTTTGAGAAAGTGCCACATTATTTTTCAAAAGGACTATAAAATTTTGCATTCCTATGAGCAATGTATGTGTTTCAATGTCCCCACGTTCTCTTCAATATTTATTATTTTATATTTTTTGTTTGCTGTTGGTTTATTTTTTATTTTTGGCTTTTTAATTGGAGTGAAATAGGATCTCAGTGTGGTTTTGACTTACATCTCTCTGGTGAACAATAACATCGACTATCTTTGCATGGATTTGGTGGCCTTTGGGCTATCATCTTTGGTGAAATCTTTGTTCAAGTCCTTTCCCCATTTTTTCATTGGGTTATCTTTTCACCAATCATGAGCCAAATGTATTAAATTTTCAAGTATGAAATTTCGAGTTCATGTTGGATGTATATATGTAAAAATTCAGGAATAGAAAACCCCATCCCCCAAATAACAAAGATGTTATAAACTTTCTGATTACTCAAATTGTTGTGG